GTTCAGTTGAGGAAGTCGTTTTCTTTGCGCTTTTGTGTATTTCGTTATGTCACCGCGCAAGAGGAGTTGTAGAGTTGTCGAAGTTACCGCAGCCTACAACCGAAGGTCTTTGTCTGAGTGTTCTGAGCTAGCAGATAGTCTAGTTAGGATCTGAAATTTGGACTTACACCTTCGGACGATTTTCCCTATTTGTATTTCTTCGAGATTTTTCCCCCTGAATGCCAAAGTGAAGTTTTGTTAAACTTGGAAGTAAGCCTTGGTTGTAAATTCAAGTTGTGTGTATTACGCTGCTCAAAGCACCTTCAAGGGTAGCCTCCGAAGTATTTCTGGGAATGACTAGTGCCTGAGATTTCAAACTCGTCAATAGACTGTTAAGTTGTGACATTGGATCTTTTCTCAACTCAGTTTCTCAGTGCGGATTCCTGTAGTCTCTGCGCGTTTTGTGGGTTGAGTGTGTTGTTCACCGCGTGAAAGTGACTTCGGTTTTGACGAAGGTACTGCATCCAAAGTAGGAAGTCCAACCCGGATGCCCTGCACTATCAGTAACTAGTGGAAGGGTTGTAAATTTGGAGTTGGGATCACTACCTGCAGATACTCTGAGTGTACTCTTGGAAAACTTTCCCCCTAAATCTTAAGTAGAGGTCCTAACAGACCTCTAAGTTTCGCTTTTATAGTTTCAAGTGTGTATTGGGATGAACTACGCTGCACTGTGTATCCTCCGAGTGACCTCTGAGTTGAGCACTTGCAGTATTTCTGGGAGTGATAGTAGCCTGAGAATTCAAACTCCTCAATATTATGTTAAAACGTGACATTTAGTACTCCATGTGTTGGCTCTGTCCCTATGGGTCCTTCTGCCATACTGCAGTTTTAGCCTTTGGTGGGTTATTAGAGCTAGGATTATTCGCCACATTATCCATCCACTATGAGTGGGATGGATGGTGGGGATAAGATCTTATCTCCTTTTTACTTGTTGGTGAGAGCTAAGATTGGAAAGAATAACCATTGTTGGTATCTCTCATCTTCAAAGTTTACGTTTCTATCTTCGAGTGAACTTCTCTCTAAACCCTAGTGTTACAGGAATCTTAATAAACTCTCTAATCTATATTATTACTCCACATGAAGTTCTAAATAGAAATCTAACACAAATTACCTCTTTAAAGAAGAATTAACCAGAACTAAGCCGTAGCCATTACAGTTTAGAGTAATAACATATATAGGTAACTCAACAGTCTCCTTGTGCTACTCATGCAAAATCTGCATAGTAGCATAGTGTCGCCTAAATCTCTCCAAAGTATTAACTTTGATCAACACATTAGTTGAATTGAATTTTTAGTTAATCATGACTGACTCAATCACGTGCTTAGTATCTACACCAATACATATGTTTCTTTTTAATCATTAATCACATAATGATCAAAATTCCCAAATCTTCATCACTACGAATATAACTTCTTGATCATTAATCACATAATAATCAAAATCTCTCACGGCCATATTCATTAGTGGATATTTCTCCCTTGTAAGTACAAAGACTCTAGAATCTCTCCCTCTCTTTCAATAAACAAAGCCTTATTGAAAGAAACATTCATATTGACAAGATTCTCATAGGCTATTAAACCCTAAAACTTGTAATTCACTGGCATCATAAATTGTTATCTATGACATCTTGCTTCTCTTGATCGAAGTACTCTACATCATTCATCAATGAACAGAAAGCCACACCTTTGACATTTACAATGACATGTTTCTTGATGTGACCACTTTTGCCACATTTTCAATACATCATCGTTTTACTCTCATTTATTTATCTCTAGATTTGGATCTCTTTTTCCTACCCATAGACTAGAATCTCTTACTCTCAAGAGTCATATACTGAGATCTTGTCGTATGAGTCCTAGCATTCTACAAATTAAGATTTGCAACGTTTGTCAATGGATTGGATTTTGTGACTTTGCCCTTTACAATGCAATATTTCTTGATGTGGTTAGTCTTGTCACATTTCCAACAAGCTATCGTCTTACTCTCAAGATACATAACTCTTGATTGAGATCTCTTTCTTGCATGGTTCGTCCTCCTAGATCTTCTCATCTAAGATTGAGCAATACTCTTATGGTCTTCAACCCTCGAAAGTGATTGATTTTGAATCACAGTCAATGTTGTACCCAAAAGTAGACATGTTTATGTTCATGGTGATATAGTTAGCAATAAATTTTTCACTATAGATTATTTGTTAACTCTCAAAAAGTGACCAGTTGTGCTAATCACGTTGAGAGCTTTCCAACTATATCCAGTTGGATAAAGTGATTTACCACTGTACTAGTTTATCACGGTAAAGCGTGAACGTAGTAAGTCACAGACAACAGTGAATTGCGGGCGCAGTAAGACGTGAATGCAGTAAGTCACGGACGCAATAAAGCATGGACGCGATAAATTGCGGACGTCATAAGTCGCAGACGGCGGTGAGTCGCAGGCGCAGTAAGGCGTGAGGATAATCAATCGCAGAAAACACTTAGTTGCGGGCAACAGTGAGTGCTAGTTGCGGACTTCAACCTCCGGGCTAAGTCTCACTTAGGTTTATCTCATATGGCTTTGCATTAGCTTATCATGGTTGTAAAAGACTAGGATTCCTTCCCATACTCATAGCCCAAACACCCTCTCACACAATCCCTCAATGTATCACTCCAACTCACACACACATCGACACTCCAAGGTACTGAAAATCGTCAATCTTTCATATGTGAAACAAGTCTCTTTATGTGAACTCTTCAAACTTGCTTGAGAGTTTCTTCCCTACCTCTCTATATATAATACTTAAGAATTTAACATAGTAATAAATGATAATTATTATTTAACTTACTTTTACAAAAATAAACTATAATAATATAGACTACTTATCAATATGTGGCAACATGTCATTGACCTCCTAAACCTTCCTGATGTTTATTAATCTCTAAATTGAGGCGCCGATATGCTATTTATGCCTTTTCAACTTCTAGAACCTCCACTTGCCAATAAGTCAACATTAGACTTGGTCTTATCAATGGAGTTCTCCTTACTTAGTCAAACCAATCAAAACCAAACATGAAGTCAAAAGTATTTTATCTTGGAATATAGACTTTTGTACAAGACAAAATAAAAGTGCTCACTCAAATCTTCTAGAGCTTCTCTAGTTTTTCCGCCAAATATAGATATTATAGCTAAACATGATTATAACTTGATAAACTTAGTTATAACTAGCTAGACTTGGTCATAACTAACTAGACTTAGTCATAAGTAGGCTAACCATGATTAACAACTTAACTACTTCTAATTCTATTTCACACACACAACATCATACAAGACGCAATGAAGCACGGAGAACGGTGAGAGATAATCACACATGAGAATTAGTCACAAGTGACAATTGATTACGGATGCAATCAATCGCGGGCGACAGTGAGAAATAGTCACAGGTGATAGGAAGACGCGAGCAACATAGATTTTGAGGTTCATGTTAGTGGGTGTGTGTCTGTCATTGAGTACTGTTCATTGAAAAAGCAGTAGAATTCTCATGATCTTTGTACAGACAAGAGAAAATTTTTGTTCACAAATATAGGTGTGGAAGAGTTCTCTTCATTATGTAATTAATGATCGAGATGAGCACTAGTATGTAATTGTGAGGTAGTTTGATCATTATGTGATTAATTATCAAGAAGTGCATAATACAAGTTATTTTTGGGATCATGAAGCACAACAATATCAAGTATCTTATCAAACAAGAGTGTCTGATAAAGTAATTGAGTTAATCAAGATGGATGGTAGATATTTGATGATTGAGCTAGTCAAGATTGACAATAGACTCTGGCAATTGAGCTAATCAAGATTGACAATAAACTCTGGTAATTGAGCTAGTCCATCTTGACGGTAAACTTTAATGATTCAGCTAATCAATCTTGACTGTAAGCTTTGGTGATTGAACTAATCAAGATAGACGGTGGAATTAATGGGTTGGTCAAAGTTGTTTATGTAGAGAAGTTTCATGGGTGCTATCATGCAGGTTGTGCGTGAGGAGTAGAGTTAGAGTTTGCTAACGACGTATCTTCAGTTATCTCTTTATATATTTACTCTATCTTGTAATGGCTACGGCTTAGTTCTAGTCAACTCTTGTGTAAAGAGAGACTTTTTATAAGGTTTATTTTTAGAATTTTCTGCGGAGTAATTATGTAGGTTATAAAATTTCTGTCCCCCCTATGCTAGCAGGTTTTTTACTTAACTCTTTATATTATTACTCTATCATGTTATGGCTACGGTTTAGCTCTTGTCTAAAGAGTGTATCTTGGGGTAGGTTTCTATCTAGAACTTATCACAGAGTATTGATGTATAATATTGAGGTTATTATACCTATAATGTGAGTTAAGGGGGAAATTGTTGAGGTTAACTCCAGTTAAGAAATAACCTAAAGTATCAACTATTTATAGTTAGAATGGCCATCTGGTCTGGGAATAAATACCTTGGGGATTCTTCGTGTACATTGAGTCTTCAAAACAAGTTTTGAGAGTTTTGGATTGACATAACCCTCTTCCTTGAGGGTAGACACGTTATATCTGTTTTATGTTACCTCAATTTTATCATTAATAAAACAATACATAATAGACGAGATGATTTTTGTCTCAAATGATTCACTTAAAATCGTCAACCAATATAACTTTATCGTTTCTGTATAATAGAAATATTTTTTGATTTATTATCATTATAAAATGTAATCAAACTAACTTTTATTGCAAAAATTATCAACATTATTTATAATTTAGTTAATAAATTTCAAAAAAAAATTTAACAAAATCTTAAAATATTTTTATTAATATAAAACTATGTTTTTAGTATTCTGCAAATAAGAATTTAAATTTCTTCTTTCTATCATTAAATTATCAAACAAAAACTTTATTCGAATAATCATGTCACTATTTCTCTTAAGATGTCTATCAATTTTCAAAACTGAATTGTATTATATATCTACATATCACCTTTCAATGCATATAAACATTTCAGTCTCGGCATCGAGATATGCATACTCATCTAGATTTCATTTAAGTTTCATTCCGCTTTTGTCACTATTCACTGAATTTGTTCGCGCTGCTTTTAAAACATGTCATGGACACTTGATTCACAACAGTCAATGTGACTGCAAAGAAGTCTAGATCTGGACTGCAAATAAGAGTCAGATAGTCCGGATATCAGTCGGATGTCGGATTCTGAATTTTCCTTCCTTGACAGTCTCTGCAGTCAGGTTCCCGAAACTCCGATGTACAGAACACCCATCCGCGAGAGATTTGTCTACAAGGATATTGACATCAGGTCCCAATGCCTCCGCCAGCCGAAAATCATTGAGCTTAGCTTTGACAAAATGACACTGCTCCGCGTCCGAAACATCGTCCAGAAGAATATTACTAGCCTTGACCTGACGATGCAGGATCCCCCTTTTATGAAGGTAGCATAAGGCTTCACATATGTCGAAAATCACATTGACCCTGTCCTTCCAGAAGAGCGACTCTGTCGACTTGAACAAGGCATCCTCCAAGTCTCCGCGTCGCATGAACTCGTGCACCAGGAAGCATTTGTCCCCTTCTGTGCACCAGCCGAAGAACCTCGTAATGTTACCATGTTGCACACTTTGGAGAGAGCGGATCATAGACTCGAACTCCTTGGACTTAGTGGTCGTCCATGCCGTCACGGCCACATCTAACTTCTTCCATCCGAACCACGAAGACAATAATGGTCCAATCCTCATCCGAAGCGTACCCTTATAGATCAAGACGGATTTGGTTTCTCTGTGGATGTGGTTGAAACCATGGGTAACAGTCTGCAGCTCTCTGAAGCTGAATTCACGAGGTGCGATTGCTGGAGGCGGGTCCGGGAGCGGCATGTAGGTTGCAGTTGCAGCTGGGAAGTTGGTGCTCTGGTTATCACCAGACGAAACAGATCTATAACAAAGGAGGATTTTGACCAGAACAAGAAGCACTACAAAACTGATGATTCCTAGAAGGAAATGCAGGGGTTGAAACTCCCAGAAAGTCTGGAAGGTCCAGTAGTAGATGGAGTAAAAATTGTGACAATACCACAATGCATTGGATCCAGCGAAGCCTACGTACACTGGCCCACTGAAGATTTCAGAAAGTGCTACCGAGTAGCTGATGAATGGGTCTCTGGGTTTTCTTCCGTCAAGCCTAATCCTAACTTCCAGCTGCTCGTCAACTGCACTGTAGTCGATCCAGGCGTGAATCACTTCACCTCCGGCAAGTGAAATGCCACCCTCCGAAGCATCTCTGGAGATATTCGACCTGGTAGTCTGAAAGTCCACACCCACGTGGTTTGCATTTTTGTCTTCAAGATCGGTGTTTTGATATGTATCAAACTCGATGGCGACCGTCTGGACGATCTGCCACCCGGAACGGTTGTAGACGGCTAAATTCCCACCAGCAGAGCCCATTTCCTTACTACCGATCATCACAAAGGCCAAGCCATCTCCAGGTACAAGCGAATAGATGGGCTCGATTTTGAAAGTGAAGTGTGTGCGGAAGGACTGCCAGCCGTAAAGGTATCCTCGCATGTCGATAGGAGACGAGACGAGAGCCATGCCCGCCGTTTCGACGTATTCTTGAGGCTTGGTCCTGTCATTTGGCGTCAAGTGCAAAACTCCTTTGTAACCGACGTTCGCGTCGCCCGCACACCACAAGCTGCCCTCTTCGTTGCAGAGAAACGGAGATGCGTCTGTACCGAGTGTGACTTCATATGTAACAAGGTTCGGGCACCATCCAGCTCCTATGAGCACCAGCAGCAACAAAGTCGGAGTACCCATCATCTTGGTGATCTTCTACCGTGTGAGAGCGAGGCTTTACAGAGTCTGGTCTAACTTTGGAACCTAAATCGAAACCCGTACAGCTGATGGGAAGTCGGAGCTATTCTGGATCAGGTGAATGAATTTGGGGCTCTCCTTGTCCGCAACGACTCCCGGAGCTTCGGACGAACAACACTCGACGATGATCGGTCGGTGACTGAAGATGCTTCCTCGGGCCCGATTGGTCGTCAGAGCTCATGAAGAAGAATTTGGTTTACAGTGCAACAATTTGGTATTATCAAGAGTCTTCGAAGAAGATTTCACTACTATTTCACAGAGACGAAACACAATGCCTGTCAGGCAGAGCTTGACCTAGTCCTTTCCAAATCAGGTCTGGGCTGTCACATGATCTACCGACTTCCGGTATGTATGAAGGTGCTTGGGAGAATTCGCATGAACACGCATGCGACCTTCCGTAGCAACCGTTTCATGAAGTGGCTCGATTCTATACAGATCCAGGAACGAACACTCGAGACGGGGTGTTCGGCAACACCCAATTCTGGAAATGAACGACGCTCAGCAGCAGCCTATGTAGCCGCTCGGAACAGCAATCACCTCACTCCCATCACAAGTGTTGTGACTTGTCAGCTCCGGACGCGTCTCCCCACATATCCGAGAAGAGGTCGGGAGGTCTTGAAGGAGGAATCCTGCGACCCTGTATCCGCTCAATTCCGGCTATTCAATACATGTGGCCATCCTGTTTACTGCTGGTGATTTTGGTCAACTGTCCTGTCCTCTACGTGGCACAAACTCTTGCAAGTCACCTGACTCAGTTGCAAGAAACTGTTTCACGGAGGTTAGCTGCATAGGATGCAGATTGATGTGAGCATAATCACATTAATCTACAGGCGTCTTCTGCCTGGAGTTTGAAGGACTCTATACATGGGAGGACATGTCTGCACGCCTGAATCGGAACATGAGAAGTACTATGAGGGAGAGTTTGCTTGTTTTTTCCATCCAATCAATCTTCGAGCAGGAGATCCACAGGCCAGAACCACTGCGACGCAGTTTTCGCATCAATGAACATTACTGGAAAGCTCATTGACACTCGGATGAGGAGATTATGCTGATCTTTGTTGTTGCGATGCGCAAGGATTAATAAGAAGGAGCGATGGTGTCGTACTGCTTGTAAGCGTCGAGCAAATTACAGACCGAGTGAATAATCTTACCTCTGCGTTTTGTGTTCGTCTGCAAGTTGGAATTGCTCCTTTCGTTTTACCAGATTTCCCATAAGTTTTTAACTCAGATAACGTTTAGCTCTAATATATATTCTGCAGATACGCAAGGACATGTTTTTTACACGCACACAAATTTGTCAGCTTAACAAGACCTCAGGCCAATGCATGAGTATAGGGCGGTTCTCGGGAGACAAGCCTACAGATCAGCACTGTAATACTCACAATCACGATGAAGAAACCTCCGATGATCTCTACAAGGTCAAGTATTCTAGAAATCTCTGAGAAAGCCCGGAAGTTCCAGTCGTGGGTGGAGTGAAAATTGTGGTAGTAACGGAAGCCATTAGAGCCAGAAAATCCCACGTACACTCTCCCACTCTCCGGGAAGACGTCACATAGCGCCAGTGGGTACGCGAGGAAGGACTCCTTCGTCTTCGTGTCGTGAAGAGCAATTCGTACTTCCATTAGCTCTGAAATGGCATGGTAGTCGAGCCAAGCATCGATGGTTCGGCCACCAGCAGATCATTGTCCGCTTCACGAGCATCTCTGGAGACTTTGGAAATTGCGCGCTGCAGATCCACACCCACGTGATTGTTGTTCATGTCTTCGAATTCTTTGTTATGGTTGGTGTCGAACTCGATGGCCAATTGTCTGGACTAATAGACAACCTACTTGATTATAAATCCCGAGTGAACCCCCTGAAAATCCTGGCACCTGTCTGGAGAGCATCACGAAGGCAAAGTCTTCTCTACGAGTATACTCAACCGGACTCTCTATTTCAAATCTGAAATGGGTGCCGAACGACAACCATCGACCTTTTGCATCAACCATGCGGACTGGAAGGGAGAACACAGCCATGCCCATGGTGTTATAGTAGAACTCAGAAGATTGCTTCCTCAGACAGGGTGTCCAATGCAGTGTTTCGCCGGAGCTATCAGAAGCGTTTCCTTCACACCACAGTTTTCCTCGTGCGTTGCACTGAAGTGGAGATTCCAGCGTACCGAGGGTGAAATCTAATGTTGCAAGAACATGACACCCCAGCCCACCTGCAGCAACCAAGAGCACCAGGGTGAAGAAATACACCTCCCTAGATTCTAGATTCTAAATTTAATTTTTGAGGCTTGGTTAGTTTTATTTATTCACATTCTTGATTTTATATGAACAAAATATTTTTAAATAGAATTATTAGTGAATTTTATTTAAACATGGTTTGCAAATGATAAAAGTTTTATCAAGATTTTTATAGAGTTTTTTCTTGGATGTTTTCAAAATATGCATCTTAAAGTATATTTCAAATTGATTTTTAAATATTTTCCAAATTAACATTCATTTTCTTGTTTCTATCATTTACGTAACAAATAAGTTACTTATTTGAATGATTGTTTTAATATTATAATATCATTAAAATAAAAAATTTAAGTATAATATATATATATATAAATTGGAGAACAAATTATTCATACCTCGATTTATGCTAATTATATTTCATGTTGAAAAATTTATATGGATATATTCATGAATTCATAATCAATGCTATGGTTGGATGTGTTACGTTAGCTAATAACTTCATGTACAAAGGTTTGTTCTAGTGATAAAACACAAGATCTAGTCACTTAATAGTTCCATCTTTTTTATTACAAAGAATGCTTTTGCATTTAATTATGACAGTGTAACCCGGACTCAACTTGTTACCGCTGCCCTTTATGAACAACTGGTTCATTAAGAGGGAACACACAAATTAGAATCACTTGATAGGTTAATCTTTCTTATTACCAAGATTGCATCTTGGTAATAAGAAATATAAGATAATAAATCTTGCATCTTTCATTGAAACGTTGGTTCTAACTCAACTTGCAAGCTTCCATAACATACTTCCATTAACTCTAACATAACCTCCAATGTTTCGTGTGCGAACTTTTGCGATAGAACGAGCTTGTTAATTTTGAAATGAGATATCTTAGGACAATTATTTACTTCACTTTAGATAATTATTTTTGAACGTGAATTATAATTAACATAAACTGAAATATAACTAACATTTCACTAAAATAATTATTTTGTACATGTGCACATTTCAGTTTGTTAATGGATACGGCGATTATCCATCTATATATCAAGCCAAGTCATGGGTTCCTATACAATTCATTCCGCTTCTTCACTATTCATTGAATTTTGCTCGCGCTGCATTTCAAACACGTCACATACATTTGATTCATAACAGTTAGTGTGACTGCATAGAAATTTAGATATGGACTACGAATTAGATTCAGATAGTCCGGATATCAATAGTTGTGTCTATCTGTTCAAAGACTGCCAAAAGACAAATGGACAAAACGGATCTGTTATGCAAGACCTGTAAGTGTTCCACAAAACAAAGAGCATTCACTGAACATACCCACTCGTAATCGTTCACGAGGTCAATTGTATTCGGCCAAAGTCTTAGCCCTGCAACTGGTAGACATCTGCCTCTAAGACATGTCAAGCACTGGGATTTATAGCCTCCTGAGGCTACATTGTACAAAACAGCTGCAAGAGTAGCAATGAGCCAGGAACATGCAGAGTCATCATGCAGCTTCAGTTCTTCAATCACAGCTGTTCACAATTGCTTCTCATATTGAGAATGAACCCGAGTCATTACACTCAGCTGGAGGAAAAACAGAATCTCTCTTCTTCTGTGTTTCGTTTTATGTACACTGGCAACTTAACTGCACACGTTCTTTGCTGGGCCCGGAGATTGTACCGACGAATTGCAAAACTTCACTTCCTTGTAAGAACACTGCTATTCGCTACCCGACTTGAATTCAACAAGTCCATTACAGATGAAATATTGTGCACAGCATGGAGTTGCCCTCTGGTCTGTGAAGGCAGTGACCTACCACTGCTAAGGTGCAACCTAAGAGACTCCAAATACTCCTTAATGCACAACATGGAGGGTCTCTTATGTCGATCCGGCTCCAAGCATTCCAGACCAAGTTTGAGAAGTGTAATGGCCTCATCTTGCCAGAAAGGGTGACGGAGTTTGGGGTCGATAGATAGTCGATAGTTTGGGGTCGATCCCGCTTCTCTTCGACCCAATTGCACAGAAGAAACGTGCTGGAGTTCGGAACCGGGTCTGCAGTGCGCTTCCCGGTAACGATTTGCAGGATCACGTTTCCAAATGCGTAGACATCAGACTCATCGCTGAATTTTCCTTCCTTGACAGCCTCTGGAGGCAGGTTCCCGAAACTCTTATGTACAGACAACCAATACGCCAGAGATTCTTTTGGGATTTTGTCACCAGGTTCCAATGCCTCCGCCAGCCGAAAATCATTGAGCTTAGCTTTGGTGACAAAATGACCCTGCTCCGCGACCGAAACACCGTCCAGAAGAATATTACTAGCCTTGACCTGAAGATGCAGGATCCGCCTTTCATGGAGGTAGCACAAGGCTTCACATATGCCGGATATCACATCGATCCTGTCCTTCCAGGAGAGCGACTGTCTCGACTTAAACAAGGCATACTCCAAGTCTCCGCGTCGCATGAACTCGTGCACCAGTAAGCATTTGTTCCCTTCTCTGCACCAGCCGAAGAACCTCGTAATGTTACCATGTTGCACACTTTGGAGAGTGCGGATCGTAGACTCAAACTTCCTCAAGTGGTCTTCGAGCGAACCCGTGGTCGTCCATTCCGTCACGGCCACATCGAACTTCTTCCATCCGAATCACGAAGACCATAATGGTCCAATCCTCATCCGCAGCGTACCCTTATAGATCAAGACGGATTTGGTTTCTCTGTGGATGTGGTTGAAACCATCGGTAACAAACTGCAGCTTTCTGAAGCTGAATTCACGAGGTGCGATTGCTGGACAGTCTTCAACTGGAGGCGGGTCTGAGAGCCGCTTGTAGGTTGCAGTTGCTGGTAAGTTGTTGCTCTGGTAATCACTAGACGAGACAGATCTATCACAATGGAGGAATTTGACCAGAACAAGAAGCACTACAAAACTGATGATTCCTAGAAGGAAATGCAGGGGGTGAAATTCCCAGAAAGTCTCGAAGGTCCAGTACAAGATGGAGTAAAAACTGTGACAATAGCAGAATACAGAATTGGATCCCGCGAAGCCTACGTACACCGGCCCACTGAAGATTTCAGAAAGTGCTACCGAGTAGCTGAGGAATAGGTCCCTGGGTTTTCTTCCGTCAAGCCCAATCCTAACTTCCAGCTGCTCGTCAACTGCACTGTAGTCGATCCAGGCGTGAATGACTTCACCTCCGGCAAGTGAAATGTCACCTGCCGAAGCATCTCTCGCGATATTCGACCTTGCGGTCTGAAAGTCAATGCCAACGTGATTTGCATTTATGTCCTCATAATCGGAGTTTTGATATGTATCAAACTCTATGGCGACCGTCTGGACGTTCTGCCACCCGGAACGATTGTAGACGCCTAAATTGCCACCTTCAGTGCCCATTTCCTTACTACCGAGCATCACAAAGGCCAAGCCATCTCCAGGTGGATGGATGGGCTCGATTCTGAAAGTGAAGTGTGTGCGGAAGGACTTCCAGCCGTAAAGGTATCCTCGCATGTCGATAGGAGACGAGACGAGAGCCATGCCCACCGTTCGGACGTGATGTTGAGGCTTGGTCCTGTCATCTGGCGTCAAGTTCAAAACTCCGTTGGAACCGACGTTCGCGTCGCCCCCACACCACAAGCCGCCCTCTCCATAGCAGAGAAAAGGAGATGCGTCTGTACCGAGTGTGAATTCACATGTTACAAGGACCCCGCACCATCCAGCTCCTATGAGCGCCAGCAGCAACAAATTCGGAGTACCCATCATCTTGGTGATCTTCTTCCGTGTGAGAGCGAGGCTTTACAGAGTGTGGTCTAACTTTGGGACTTAAATCTAAAACCCGTACGGCTGATGGGAAGTCGGAGCTATTCTGGATCAGGTGAATGAATGTGGGGCTCTTCTTGTCCGCAACGACTCCCGGAGCTTCGGACGAACAACACTCGACGATGACGGAAGATGATTCCTCGGGCCCAATTGGTCGTCAAAGCTCATGAAGAAGAATTTGGTTCACAGTGCAACAAATTAGTATCATCTAGAGTCTCCAAAGAAGATTTCATTACTATGTCACTGAGACGAAACACAATGCCTATCAGGCAGAGTCCTTTCCAAATCAACTCTGGGCTGTCACCTGATCTACAGACTTCCAATATGTACGAAGATGCTTGGGAGAATTCACATGAACCCACATGCGACCTTCCGTAGCAACCGTTTGAAATGAAGTGGCTCCATTCTATACAGATCTAGGAGCGAACACTCGAGATGGGGTATGCTGCTTCATGAAATACTCGATTCTATACAGATCCAGGAACGAGCACTCGAGATGGGGTGTTCTGCTTCATAGAGTGGCTCGATTCTGTACAGATCCAGGAACGAGCACTCGAGACGGGGTGTTCCCCAACACCCAATTTTGGAAATGAACGCCGCTCAGCAGCAGCCTATGTAGCCGCTTGGAACAGCTATCACCTCACTCCCATCACAAGTGTTGTGACTTGTCAGCTCCAGATGCGTCTCCCCACATATCCGAGAAGAGGTCTTGAAGGAGGAATCGTGCGACCCAGTATCCACTAAATTCCGGCTATTCAATACATGTGGCCATACTGTCAACTGCTGGGGCTTTTGGTCAACTGTCCTGTCCTGTACATCTATCCTTCGTAGCACAAACTCTTCCAAGTCAGCCAACTCGGCTGCAAGAAACTGTTTCACGGAGGTTCGCTGCATGGGATGCAGATTGATGTGAGGATAATCATATCAATCTGCAGGCGTCTTCTGAAGTTTGAAGGCCTCTATACATGGGAGGACATGTCTGCACGCCTGAATCGGATCATGAGAAAGTACTATGATGGAGAGTTTCCTTGTTTTTCCATCCTACCAGTCTTCGAGCAGGAGATGCACAGGCCAGAAACACTGCGACGCAGTTTTCGCATCAATGAACATTACTGGAAGGCTCATTGACACTCGGATGAGGAAATTATGCTGATCTTTGTTGTTGCGATGCGCAAGGATTGACAAGAAGGATGGATGGTGTCGTACTGCTTGTAAGCGTCGAGCAAATTACAGACCGAGTGAATAATCTTACCTCTGCGTTATGTCTTCGTCTATAGTTGGAATTGCTACTTTCCTTTTACCAGATTTAACTCAGATAACGTTTATCTGTAATATTTATTTTGCAGATACGCAAGGACATGTTTCTTACACGCATACAAACTAGTCAGCGAAAGAAGAATTCCTCAGGCCAATGCATCTTCTGGTACCTGGAACTGACTCTCGAACTTTCGACACACGTTGTATCGAAACGTGTACAGGATGGAATGACGACCTATTGCAAGCCCAGAGGTTCGGTGCTACTCTGCTAGCTTACAAAAAGTCCGACTTCGAGATTCACATCCAAGTTGACCGTACTTTTACGAAGCTCGTTCACAGGTTGGGTCAAAGAAACTCTGATATCATCTGACATCAAACATCAAACTCTTGTGCAACGTCAGCGTTTCGATTGAGATTGATGTTGTCATCTGCATGATATCAAGCTTTTATGTTGTCTTTGATATCAGATATTGTTTCCAAAATTGTAGAACGGAAGGTATTTGTATGTACTTGGAGTGTAATTCAGGACATCTCTCTCCACTCGAGCCAGTGTTCCAGCTGTTAGCTCTTAAAAGGACCTTCATCGAAAGAGAATCACGGTCATCTGAACGTACATTCAGGGGAGAGAAGGAATCCATTTTCTAATCTACGTTCAAAAAGAGAGAGATCATAATTGTTTTCTTGCATCATTAGCAGACGTGTGTCATTCGTGCACGTGCCTCAAGTCGTTGTGGAACTTCAGTAAAGTGACAAATTCTCTGGGTTGAACTGTATGATTCTGAACGCCTCCCTTCCAGCTTGTTCCAACTGGGAAAACAATGATGTAATTTGCTGGTTTATTGATCATGCAGCTGAAACAGGACAGGGAACTCTATTCGTCCGTCACACATAATTGTAAATGACGAAGCAGACATTATGAGCACAAAATAAATACACGAATAGAATTTTAAATCTTATGGTGAAAAGACGAACAAAATGCTTAAAGGACAAAGACTGCTCACTCTAACGTAAAGTGACCTTGCTCTTGTATATCAAGAGGCTTCTAAAATTCTCTAATCTGTGTTCAAGACCTCAAAACTACAGCGTTCTGCGTAAGTCGTTCAATCGCCCGTTCAGGAGTCTCGTGCGATTACATTGCATTTTGATCTCGGCCATATGTGTGTTTGAGTCCTACAAGTTTGTGGCAGGACACAGCTCAGTCTTCAAGGTTCGAGCTGATTCTGATCGTCTTCCATATATTTCACTGAGAATTGATGGACGAAAATTATGCTTTTGTGTGTGCATATCTTCATCCATGTACTTCTACTTTATATTTATGATCCATGCTCCAGCGTCGAACACATAGTTAATGTCTTGTAAAGCGCAAGCGATGCTGTAATCTTGTCTGGTCCTCAAGAGATTTCACTGTAGAATAACAAGGTCAACATCTAGAGAGAAGGTATACTTTCTACATGTTTATTTCCATTCATTTCTAGCTACTGCAACATGGCAGTACAACAACCGATTGTTATTATTTGATAACATGGCCTTCACTCACTGTGGGGGGCAACAACCTCGAATTTATCTTTTCTGTGCCACCCATCTCCTCGGTAACCAATGTTTGGCTTGAAAGGCAAACCATTTCTATGCAGAAGTCATGCTTATCACACGCAGCAGGCATTCCTCTTCTGTAGACCTGATATAATTGACTATAATTCTCTGACCTGACATTATGAAGCTACAAATATTGAGATTACCATCGTTTCTCTGCGCCATAGAATCCAAATCAATCACCTACTTAGATTACAGCCACAAAAATATTTCTTTCAAAATGAGCGAAGGATATGCTGCTACGTCAGGCTCAAAGTTCAGCAGCTATTTGTTGAGAAGGGGTTTGGATGTGGAGGAAGCGTATTGAGCAGGTTTTCGTGTCGGTGAACCATCGGCAGAAAGACTAGTTAGCTTCCTGGTTTTCAGGCAGGACATGATCGCACGCATCGTGGGCCTTCGTATATCTTCATCATCGCAGCACAAAAGGCCAAGTTGGATCACCACCGCAGCTTCAGTTTTATCATAATTGCGGCCTAGTCTGCTGTCAACGAAATTTCGTACCTCGATGTCGCTCTTCACCCAATTGGATGTGTTGTCACCGTTCCAATGACAATTTGAAGATCTGTTACCACTAGCGATTTCTAGCATCACCTTTCCAAATGCAAATACATCACTTTTATCTGTAAACTCTCCTTCTAGAGTCTTCGGAGCTTGGTAACCAAAAGTCCCAAACGGCATGGTAGTTTTCAAATCTTTATTATGATTTACCAGTCGAGCCAAACCAAAATCTCCCAGCTTGCCTCTGTAATCTTTATCCAGCATGATATTACCAGACTTGATGTCACGGTGGATGACCGGCGGTTCGTACTCCTCATGGAGATAAAGAAGGGCTGATGCGACATCGAGGAGTATTGTGTACCTCTGCGTCCAAGACAACACAAGGTCCGCGTTGGGAGTGAACAGAGCTTTGTCTAAGCTCCCGTTCGGCATGAGTTCGTATACCAGCATGACGACTCCCTCGTTCGCTTCGCACCACCCCAGCAGCCTCACGATGTGTTTGTGTTGCACCTTCTTGATTACCTTCAATTCCCTGTGGAATATGTGTTTCTCCTGGCTACCTCTTAATTTCTTGACCGCCACCTCACTCCCTCCGGCACAAGCCTCTGATCTGCGGCTGACAAACCCTCTGTACACACTCCCGAACCGACCTTCTCCGAGTTTCTGTGATGAATCGAAGTTTTTGGTGGCCGCGACGAGCTCTTCGATGCTATAGCGCCGACATGGCTCGTCATCATCCACAGGAACTGAAGTATAGGGCTGTTCTCGGGATACAAGCTTACAGATCAGCACTATAATAATCACAATCACGATGAAGAAACCTCCGATGATCTCTACAAGGTGAAGTATTTTAGAAATCTCTGAGAAAGCCCGGAATTTCCAGTCGTGGATGGAGTAAAAATTGTGGCAGTTACAGAAGCCATTAGACCCAGAAAATCCCACGTACACTTTCCCACTCTCCGGGAAGACGTCACCTAGCGCCAGTGGGTACGTGAGGAAGGACTCCTTCGGCTTCGTGTCATGAAGAGCAATTCGTACTTCCAATACCTCTGAAATGGCATGGTAGTCGATCCAAGCATCGATGGTTCTGCCGCCAGCAAGATCAATGTCCGCTTCATGAGCATCTCTGGAGACTTTGGAAATTGCACGCTGCAGATCCACACCCACGTGATTGTTGTTCATGTCTTCGAATTCTTGGTTATGGAAGGTGTCGAACTCGATGGCCAATGTCTGGACTAACTGACAACCAGCTTGATCATAAATCCCGAGTGAACCCCCGGAAAATCCTGGCACTTGTCTATTGAGCATCACAAAGGCCAATCCATCGCCACGAAAATTCTCAATCAGACTCTCTATTTCAAATCTGAAATGGGTGCTGAAGGACAACCATCGACCTCTTGCATCAACCATGTGGACTGGAAGGGAGAACAGAGCCATGCCCTTGGTGTTATAGTAGAACTCAAAAGACTGGGTTCTCTGATCGGGTGTCAAATGCAGTGTTTCGCCGGAGCTCTCAGAAGCGTTTCCTTCGCACCACAGGTTTCCTTGTGCGTTGCACTGAAATGGAGATTCCAGCGTACCGAGGGTGAAATCTAATGTTGCAAGAACATGACACCCCGGCCCATCTGCAGCCACCAAGAGCACCAGGGTGAAGAAATACACCGCCCTAGATCGAAACATGGCTGCCTCCAGAACCTTCACGATGTCAGTTCCAGGCTGAGAGCTCCGGATGATCCAATCGATGAGAAGTCGAAGCTTCCGAGACTGAATCCACACCGTAAAGATTCTGGATGAGGGGAATTCACGAGTTTCAGACCTAAGAACAGAGTGACAACACTGCATTCGAAATCCCCTAGAAACTACGGGTATGATTCGAACAAAACCCCCATTCCTGACGAATGGAAGAACTATAAGCAGCACATGGAATTACTCGGCGTGGCTTCCAAATCCACGGCTTGCATTTTTTTTTCGAAGTCTGAATTGTCCACGATGGCATCCTCATGCTGTTGCATGTTCGACATTGAGTATATTGGAGTTGGCTCAACATCAAGGATGTTTGCGCTGAAGCATTTTACTAGAAACAGCAAAGATGCCTATTCTGTTTTCCGAATCTTACGCACGTCCACGAGTCCAAGTATTATAAACTAATCATTTGAGTTCTCCATCTATCTGTCTCCAATCAACTTGAGGATATTGAGGAGTATTGTTGCAACAGTGCGAAAGCTGGAAACTTGAGCAGGCATTGGCTGCTACCGTGTCCTGCTCGATTTCTATGCACCACAAACCACTAGTCAAATGTTATCCCGGACCTTCAGTATCGAATAACTGCATGATGTGTGCGCTTTCCATCTAGACCGTTATTCCCTTTCTACATTCGTCTTATGGCGCCCATTTCTGTGGATGCATAGTAATTATGCAATTTATGGGTCCAAAGTCTGACGAGAATGTCCTTGAATGCAGCGCAGCGCACACTAAGTCTCCAAGATCCATGAAATCAGGCTCCATGAGTTTCTAACAACTTCAGAGGAGGTGATGTATGCTGTCAAAGCATTGGGGCCAGCAACTCGGCTGTGTTATAAAGTGTACGTCTTAAGAAGTTCCACAAGTCAGAAGGGGTGTGAGCTAATTCTTTACCGGGCAAAAAGAAATTTTGAACACGCTGCAAGGCTCAAACGTGGACTCGGAAATTACTGTGACAATTCCAACATTCCAGCAGAGAGGTGGAGGAAACCACTTCTTCTCTGGAGATTATCCCTCTCCTATTCTTCTGTGTTGATAGAGGAGATTCTGAGTATCCGATGAATTCTCCCTTGCTTAGGAGCCAAAAGTCGTGCTCATGAGATTAAACAGTCATTCTTCCCGAAGCTGGAATCATTTAAGAGAAAATACAGGAAATGTTCATCGAAGGGCGAAATCATCAAGAAATGGAGGGAGGAGAGCTGAAGAGGTGCATCTCATAGCCGAGATGGTATTGTCAGCAAATGCTTTCGAGTGAAGAGACTCAAGATACAGAGCTTCGATTTGAAGCGTAAAGCACTGTACAATGTTGCTACTGTATTCCATCCTGAGTGCGGTATTAGCTTATGTACATACTTAACGCCGTTCGTTGGGAACTTCTCTGTTTTGTTCACCAGACTGACATAAATAACTTTGTAGGTTAATCTTCTTATATGCATGTAGTGCATCCTCCTAGCACCGTAGACTGTTTCGGGCCTTGGCTGCTGTTATATCCTATGTGCTGACATACAACTGCTTCTAACTTTGCTTTTGTCCATAACTACGTGCTTTGAAAACTGTGCTTTTCCCATCAGTTGTGATGATGTTCTGAGTTCAGCCTCTTCTTAGTCGTGAGAGTGAGCTCTTGACGTACGAGGCAATTCACGGCCAACTTACTGTCGTTGCGCCGTTGAGATCAGCAGATGCTTCACCTCTCAAATGACAAATTTTTGTTGTACTTTGGATCAGCGAAGAGGTCGATCCAGCTTATCCGCCTTAGAGCTTATTTTCTTCTTCATTGATGTCGAGACTGAGCTCTCTGTATCCGAATCCATCACCGGTACGTTGACCTGAATAGTACTTTCTGCCCCAAACATGTGAGAGGATGGAAACCAAAGGAACGAGTAGCAGAATGAACACAAGTCCTATGAGTATGAAGAACATACTGTTCACATATAAGTAGCTGTCATCTCCAGCTGGAATGACCTTTAAGCTCCAGTCGAAAATAGTGTAGAAGTTGTGACATATGCAGAGTCCATTGGATCCCGAGAACCCTGCGAAGACTGTTCCGTTGTCACTGAAGACATCCGAAAGCTTGAATTGATATCGCAGAAAGGGCTGCACAGGCCTCTGGTCTCGCATTTCAATCCGAACTTCTAGGTAACTCGAGTCCACACTGTAGTCTATCCACGTGTAGATATCTTCTCCTCCGGAAAGATTGATGTTCGCATCATAAGCATTTCTCGACACTTTCGAGCGAAGACTCTCGAGGTCCACCCCGACGTGATTGCTGAACTCGTCGAAGTCCTTGTTGGGGAAAGTATCGAACTCCACAGCCAACGTCTTTACTTTCTGTCGCCCACTACTGCTGTACACCCCCAAATCACCCCCCGGAGCTCCTTCCCAGCGGGAAACATTGAACATCACAAACGCCAACCCGTCCCCGGGAAACTTCCCGGTCTCGATCCTAAACCTGAAGAAACAGCTAAACGATCTCCATCGACCTTCATTGTCGAGCAGCTGCAGAGGCAGGGTGTACAGAGCCATACCCTGAGTGTTGAAGTAGTACTCGTCCGGCAGATTTCTGCCATCAGGCGTGAGGGTCAGAGCTCCCTCGGAGTTGGTGCTCGCGTTCCCTCCGCACCACATATTCCCTCCCTCGTCGCACTGGAACGACATTCCTTTTGTACCGAGCGAGAAATCTAGCAGACTGGATCCTGGTGCTGAGAAACCGGCCACCACAACCGCTAGAACCCAAAAAGCGCGACATCTCCTGAGTCCCATCTGCGACGACAACACAGAAAGCAACGATGATGGCACAATTGAAAGCGAAAGCTAGCTTTTGTGGTTCCCAGGTTCTCTTCCTTGCATCGTCTTCTCGATCTTCTCCTCGTCCCGGAGAGGCCGTAACCATTTGAGGGTGACAAAGCGAGCAGACATATAATTAATGGAACGGACGATGAGAGGAAGGCAATAATTCCAGGTCTGAAGAGACAGCACCCTGACTTGAAGAAGTCGACATTTTGCTGCATTCCCAGACAAAAGTCACGCTGCAGTCCCCCCGAAAAAAATTGCAGTCTCTTGCATGCGAGCCCAGTGACGACTGACTCATTGACTATCGGAGAGATTCCTTTGACGCGGACTCCAGGTTCTGAGGCTAAGACTGAGGCCTGAGTCAACGAACGCTCTCATCCGAGCGCAGGACAGGACTCCAGGTGAAAATTGCCGCACCTCTGAGGATTCTGTGAGTTAGTCTTGCTTGAGGCTCTACCCGGAGTCTTGACCGATCGTGTCGAGCCATGCAGATGATGGCATTTGAAGAGCATCACGAGAAGCGTCAGGCGAAGCCTCGGAAATCTCGTGCTCGATCCCCTTCGCCAACGGATGATTATTGTTCTATATATCATGGCCTCTCCTGTTCTCGAGGTCCACTGCATTTTAATTTCTATTGTTTCGCTTGGACCAATCCACACACACTCACTCACTCACCCAGATGCACCCAAGGTTTCGTCGGTCCCCCATGACACCCACCGCCGTCGGCTGCGAGTTCGGATCGATCAGATTTCGAGAGCGACCTTTCGGCGTGGATAGCTGACTCCTCGGACTATATGTAAGCGGCTCTTCTGGCCGCTGACGAGAGCTTCGATTGACCAGAATGCATTGAGCTCCTCATTCGTGTGGCTTTCGCGGTTCTGAGCTCGATCGAGCTATCGAGCTCCATCGGTGACAGATGTAAAGCGATCGAACTCCATCGTCGTACGGGAAGGCGGTGACTTTCTTGCGTATCCAGCAAGGTGAGAAAGTCCACGTGACGCAGCAGACGAGAGGATCGATTACGATCCAGTCGAGACTAGCGGTTTTTCGTGGTGCAACCGAATGTACACTGTTGTTACAAGCACTGCTGGGACATACTTTGTGTGTTTTGCCATGATTCGCTTATTCGTGTCCGATATCTGACTTCTTTCTCTCGGTCAAATGCGCCTCCGGAGAGAGGGATCTCGTCTGGGAACGGCAAAGACATTGAAAATTCAGGAGAAAAAGCTGCCACCATTCCAGGCGACAGGGTTGTGGAGGTGGCGTGTTTTGATATCTAAGATCTCTGTAAAATTTCATGAACGTCCACTGATGGAAGACGAGCGGGAAAACTTTTCAACTGATGGGGTAATGTGGTTATGCTGACTTCAATTCAACTCAACTTGGAGCTTATAGCAAGGAAAATCTTACTGATGCACACTTGACCTTGGACCGCTCGAGACACGAAGATTCAGAGCCACGAGGTCTCGTCTGCAGATCGAGCAACTACGAGACTTCTTGGTACTGAATTTTACGATAAATGGCGGTCAGTGTGAGAGCAGCTACAGCAACAAAAAACTGGCTGGAGCCATTGTGGAATCAGAACCAACAAATCACATTCAGGTCTTCGAACAGGTCTTCAGTTACTTTTGTCCAGCCTTGTGCCTCACAATGTTTCTAAAAATTTGCTGATATTTCTAATCGTTATTTTGTTTTGAGAAGTGAACGGATGAACAGACAGAGAGTATGAAGTTTCATGAAGGGTACTTGTAGGTCCTTGCCTCAGGAATAGAGTAACTTCGAATGTGGAATAGAGCAGCAACTGAAAGCACGGCAGCAAGCTTGCGAACGACGATGAGAGCCTCGGACCGCATCACCGCAACCCACACACGTAAAATTGAAATCTTCACACCCAGTCAAAGTGAACACAAAATTCGAAGCTTCACAACTTTCCACGGAAGTAACTTTGAGGGGCCGCGACCACGGGTATGTCGACGTATAGTAACGTGTGTATCAATTTCAGATCCAGATTCTGGTCAAGCTCTGACTTCTGCTCTGTACCACCGTTCTGATCTACATAAGTCATCTCCTGTTGGACAATCTCTACCGTAAATCGCTCATATGTAGTAGAATCTTGTGTCTTTTGGCTGGTGTCGAAACAGTGAGATTTCTAACTCTGCTCGTTGTCATACCTGCGTGTTCATCGTTGTTTAAGTCTTAGAGTTGACTAGATGGATAGGCGAGATCAATGCACCTTGTTCCGTATTGTGCAGGCATATACATTGTATATACATGACATCCAAGAAGAAATCATACTGAATCGTGGTTTTTACTCCAACTTTGTAAACTGTACATAGCTCCTACAGTTTAAAATAAAAAAATTGAGAAGAACATCTGTCACAAGATAGAGAATGAAGGTAAGAGGTAGCGAGAGGAAAATGCAAATAGTACTTGCATTTCATGTTTGATTCCGTGAGCTGTGTAGACTGCTGCATGTGGTGTCAACGAACATAGTCTTTTGGTGGGACCTCGGTGATTCATGAAATATATTGAAATATATAACCTGCCGTCCGACGTCTGAGCAACGAAGCGCTCAGAAGACTATCTCTGGAGGGTCCAAGTCAAGGGAAGTTTTTTTAACTTATAAAATTATATGCCCAAACATAGCCAACCGAATTTTGCAAATTGAACTGCGTGCACCGTGCCTGCTTTCAGACTGTCCAAGGCGATCACGGATCGCCAGCCCTGCCGTGAGCAAAAGCGCGTCATGAGGCATCCTTTGAATGCCTACTGAGCCCACAGTCCAGAACGTAGAACACTTCTAAACTGTACCGCAGTTCCAACTGCGCCTTGACTCTGAGCTACCAGGTACTGATGTGATCTCTTTCGTGAGACTATCTGATCTTACTTCTGTGGTTTCATCCATGTGCTTCGCAAACATTTTGCTACTTCCCTACATTGTACCTCAGTTGTCATTCCAAAACCCTATGCTATGGAGCTCCACTCTAGATCAAGACATTTGAACATTATTAAGAAATAAATGCAGTTTTTTGGTCATATTAGAGGCAATTTGTAGGAAACAATTTTGAGTAAGAACCAAAAGGAAAGATATAAGTGGACCGAGAAGTAGTCACATCTCAAAGAGAGAGATCGAGAGATGAGAGGAGGAATCGCAGGGCCAAAGGCCGTGGCTAAGTCAAGCCTAGACTAGACGTCACACGTGTCGCGAGAAAGTATATATCCCACATCCCACCAGCCAAGAGACGAATGCAAATAAATCCTAATGGCTGGTGGTGTGAAATATTTTAAATCCTGTGAAAAAATACCAAATCATAAAGACGGTAAAAAATATTGTATATATATAAAATTTCCAAAAAAATCTTTAGATTTATCTCAAACACTTTTTGGTATAAGTCATCTATATTCTTCCCCATCCCAAACACATTTTCACAAAATATTTCCACTCTTCAGTCATCACACGATAAATTAACTCAAAATTATTTTGAAAAGACAATTTTCCACTCAATAAACACTCTAAACTTGCTTAAGAATCTATTCTCTACCTCTCTATTTTTACAACTTAAAAATTACCAATCTAAATCATTATCTAATTTTTTAGTACTTTTACTAGTATAAATTTTGCTAGGTTTTACTAATTTTCATTACTGAAAACATATCATTAACCTACCTACACATTTCACAAGCTTTCTTACTCCTAGGTTGAGGTGCTGATGTGCTATTTGAAACCCTGAAACTTTTTGATGTTTCACTTGCCACTTAATCAGCATTAAACTTAGTGTAACCAATGAAATGTTAAATTTTTCTCATTTTAGAATCTAAACTTTGATATAAGACAAAGTAAGAATACCTAATCTTAATATTTAGAATTACTTTTTTTTATTGTATCAAATATATACTCCATAGCTAGACTTAGTTAATAGGGTAATATCTCGAGAATCAACATAACAAATCAAGTGACATTAATAGTAACAGAAGATATAACATGGTTCATCACCTTGGAGGCTATGTCCACTACTGAACACGCATAAGAGTTTTTTGTGTGTACATTGCAAAATCCTGGGGTATTTAATCCTCCAATCCTTACAACTTTCCTAACTATTTACAGCTAAAATCCAAGGATATTCATTAATAGAATTACCCAACATTGGTCATAATTAGCTAAGTGTAATCATTACTGCAAAAATCTACAAAGAAGTACAATGTCACCACAATGAGGGAACGAAAGCATCAAACTTCCTAGAGTCTCAAATTACCTGATAAACATGAATATCTTGGATACAAAAGAAATGCATTAATTATATATTTTTTAAATTATGCTATCTAATAAAAAAAATTTAAAAAATTTCTACACAAAACATATTTCCTTGATAGTATGTTGTTAGGAGATATTAAATCCACTTAATCCAATTTATTAAATAGTTAAGTCAATTACAATAGCAATTTGGATATCATGTGTTGTCATAATGAAATATACTACAAATATAATTCAACACAAGAAGAGATTAAAGATACTTTATATATATATTCATCATTTTCATCAAAATTGTTATTTGTAATGTTTGTGGAGTTTTGAAAATCACAACTCTAATTTGAAGTTTCAAACAAAAAATGAATTTAATCCTTTGATGTTTATGATTTATAAGTAATCAATTTCCACTTTAATTTCAGTATATATTTCCCAATAAATGTTTAAAATTTTTATATCAAATGAATATTGATCTTAAATAACAAAGCATATGCTTTTTCATTAAATTTAAATATTCAATCTAACTTTTAAAAAAATTGATTAAAATTTATGTCAAATAAAAAATCATAAAAGAGTAAATTTCATGTTTATTAATTTATATCAAAAAGTAGATAGAAACAAAATTATTCAAAAATTTAAATAATATATTGAGTATTTTTTTAATCACAATGAGCATTTTTAAAATATATTTTTGATTTTTAACTAAATTATTTTATAATAATGATAGTAAAAATATTTAATTCTAAAAGTTAATATTTTTTGTATAATAAAATAGATTTTTTGACTAAGTTAATGATATGTTAAACATAGTTCAATGTTTTATTCATAATTTTAAAAAAATCACTTGATGCAATTCCATCAAAACCGACAAGTCGGACTCAGATCCTAAACAATTCATTTTACCCAATAATACACTTTGTCGGCACTTAACCCCACTGTCGTCCATGTTTGCATTTGATTTGTTGTAAAGGGTGTGTGATCTTTGTTGTAATACTTACACACCTTGGCAAAAAGTCATATGAGAACAATGTTTGCAATTTATTTACACAGCTAGACAATAGCTTTTGATGCTAGTGAGAGCAACTAGAAATCTGTATATTGACTAAATTTCCATGGCCGTCAATCTTCAACAAACAACCAGGGACAAATTGAACTTTGGAAAGAAGTTACTTTTTTTCAACAAAAAGTTGCAATGGTTTTCTTAACACATATGCAAAACAGTTACAAAAAATGAGAAGAACTCGTATGAGAACTTGTGCAA